AGATTGCAAAAATTTTCTCCCATTCTGTAGGTTGCCTGTTCACTCTGATGATACTTTCTTTTGCTATTCAGAAGCTCTTTAGCTTCTACAGGGAGAAGAAAAACAAGTTGCTAAGTCTCCCTGAGCCAATACTACTGCAGAGCACTGGCTTTTTATTTTTTATTTATTCATTTTATTAGAGGGAGTTTCACTGTTGTTGCCCAGGCTGGACTGCAGTGTCGTGCTTACCACAACCTCTGCCTCCCAGCTTCAAACCATTCTCCCATCTCAGCCTCCAGACTAGCTGGAATTACAAGCATGCACCACCAAGCACAGCTAATTTTTTTGTATTTTTAGTAGAGACAAGGTTTCTCCTTGTTGGTCAGGCTGGTCTCAAACTCCTGACTCAGGTGATCCACCCACCTCGACCTCCCAAAGTGGTGGGATTATAGGCGTAAGTCACTGCGCCTGGCCGACCACAGGCCTTTTCTAAGTGGAGAGGAGGAGTTTTGGTGTAAATTGCCCAATCAGAAATTTGGAGCCAAAGTCTTTCCTATTATTTCTGTCTCATGCCTTATTACTTCTACCATCATTCTAGGAAAGCGAATCTGTTTCTAAAAGAGAATGAAAAGGTATTACCTGTTGGCTGAAGTCCAGAGTGTCCTGGGATAAAGGGGAAAAGATATACACTTAAAAGATATGGAAGCAGGCCAGGTGCGGTGGCTCATGCCTGTAATCCCAGCACTTTGAGAGGCCGAGTCAGGTGGATCACGAAGTTAAGAGATCGAGACCATCCTGGCCAACATGGTGAAACCCCATCTCTATTAAAAATATAAAAACTAGCTCGGCGTGGTGGCAGGTGCCTGTAGTCCCAGCTACTCCGGAGGCTGAGGCAGGAGAATCACTTGAACACGGGAGGAGGAGGTTGCAGTGAGCCGAGATTGTGCCACTTCACTCCAACCTGGTGACAGAATGAGACTCCATCTCAAAAAACAAATAAAAAAAAAGATATGGAAGCAAATCTGTCTTGCAACATAATATCCCAGCCCCAGACCTCCCACCTGAGATTTCTCTAACACCACAACCAACATGAACCAGGGCAGAGAGGAGAAGAAACTCACCACATGTCCCATGAAGTGTGAAGTGTCTGTCACAGGATCCAGCGTAATCGCATTAGCCTTAGTGGCTCTGCCTTAATTTGCTCCAGAGTCTCCAATGAAGGGATCCCTGCTTGTTAGACGCCCCCCTCTTTTTTTTTTTAAATCTCTGCAGGCCACAAGCTATTAAACTTTGACATAGTAACCATGCACTGATGATGTCCGGATTAATGAGACACTGGAGGTCATTTGGGGAAAAAAAGGCTTTATCCAGGGCCACTCATATACTGAGAACTAACCTCAGCAAAGTCATAGTTCCTTCTCCAGAAAAGTCTATGGAGAGAGCCAACTACCAAAGGCTCCTCACCTTCCTGATTCCTGAAGTAAATGAACAGCCCGGCCCCAAGGAAGAGCAGGCCCAGCACAAAGCCCCCAACTCCACTCAGCATCTTGCTCTGTGCAGATTCAGACCATGCTCCTGAGAGAGGAAGCCAACTTTAGTGATTCTTATCCCAAATTGAACCTCTTTAATTGAGATCCTGAGATTCAGAGCTTTGAAAATGGGGAAGAAGGCTGTGCTGCAAGAACTGAAATAACTAGCTATTCCTGGGGAAAAAATGGTTTTCAAATCACACTGAACAGTTACAAGGTCCAGGCATCAAACTCATTCAAATATTACAACTTGAGGTAAGGCATGACTTCAACATCTGATCAACAGAAATCCTGAGACTCAAAGAGGTTAAGTAGTTTGTCTAGAGTGACAGAGCTAGTAAAAGGCAGAGCTGGGACTGGACTCCCCTCATGTCAGGAAGGCCCCTACACTTCTACTCTTCTCAGATCACAACAAACAACTCCAAGCAACAGCACAGAAATACAGTCTCAGACCCAGAGGCAGGGCCTGGAGCCCAGGGAGAATAGGTTACCCTGACCTGTGCCATCATGGGGAGGTTTAAAAGAGGGACAGCCTCTCCTGCCTGGCAGGCATGACTGCTTTCCCGGGGTATAGGTGTTTTTAGAAACGATTACAGGGCTATCCCCAGTGACCTGTGCTGATGGAGATGAGAACATGGAGCAAATGAAAATGGGATGTGGGAGAGGAGAAACCTGACACTCAGGGATTAGCAAAGTCCTCTACTTACCAGGTGAGAAATGTATGAAGTCAGAAAGCTGCTCACTCCATTCCACTGTGAGAGGGCTCGTCACGCTTGGGTGCTCCACTTGGCAGGTGTAAACCTCTCCACTCTGAGGAACTGTTTCCAGCATCACCAGGGTCTGGAAGGTCCAGTCTCCATTCTGGATCAGGCCTGTGGCCACCACCCCAGCCTTCTCTTCCTGGCCGTTCCGGAACCACCTGACTTCAATGCTGCCTGTGTAGAAACCATTCACAGAGCAGACCAGGAGGGTGTGGTGCTGCAGAGGCTGGGTCTTTGAAGGATACACAGTCACCTTAGGTTGGACTAGGAGAAAAAAACATAGTGGGAATGAGTCAGGAAGACAGAGTAAATCTCCTTGTTTGACTGTTTTGTTTGTCTGCTTCTCTGCAAACCCAGACTCTGGCCTTGACCAGGCCTCCAGCACAGCTGGCCACATGGCCTCACAGTGTCATCAGCCTGGAATTTAATCTTTACAGTGGGGACCCATTAGATTTGAGAGATATTGTGATACATTATGTTTGTTTCTTCATAGCTTGAAATGGCATGCATTGTCATAGTATTTACAAATCTTTGAAAGTACACAGTGTCTTAATGAAAACTGATTTCTGAGCCAGGTTGCCGGGTTCACATCCAAGGTCTGCCTTTTTACTCGTTGGTCCTGGAAGAGTTTTTCAATTCTTCTGTGTCTCAACTTTCTCACCTATAATGGAGGATAATTATACTAATTTACCTCTTGAGATTACGTGAGGATTAATGCACGTACAATATATAAAACAATAACTTAAGATAGTATTCCTTTTATGAGGTCAGAAGCTGCTCACTCCATTCCACTGTGAGAGGGCTCATCACACTTGTGTGCTCCACTTGGCATCTACTTATCATCCTTGTACACCTTGAGAGAAGAATATGATTTAAAGCAATGTGGATAGATAAAGGGGCAGAGTAGGGCCCGGTGTGGTGGCTCACACCTGTAATCCCAGCACTTTCGGAGGTCGAGGTGGGAGGAACACAAAGTCAGGAGATCGAGACCATCCTGGCTAACACAGTGAAACCCCGTCTCTACTAAAAATTAGCCAGGCGTGGTGGTGGGAGCCTGTAGTCCCAGTTACTCAGGAGGCTGAGGCAGGAGAATGGCGTGAACCCGGGAGGCAGAGCTTGCAGTGAGCCGAGATCGCACCACTGCACTCCAGCCTGGGAGACAGTGACTCCGTCTCAGAAATAAATAAATAAATAAATAAATAAATAAATAAGAGCATTTTACTTTGTACTCAGAATTGTACTAAAGGCTTTCTATACTTCATGTTTTTATTTAATTCTCACGTCAGCTCAGTAAAATAAACACCCTTCTCATGCTTACAGGTGGAGAGAATAAAACGATGGAGATAAAACAACTTGTACAGAGATACAAAGCTAGTAAATGGTACACTATAGTTAAACCAAATTACATACCCCTCAGGCTCAGTCACTATATCATATTCCTTCACATTCCATTTCTGAGAATAATGTCCTTTGTATTAAAACTATTTATGTCCCTATAATTTATGGGTGTGCACAGCAGTAAGACTACTTCTTTTAATGAACGGCAGCATTATACAATTTGAGGAAGATATTGTGTAGCAATTCTAGTTCCTTCAAAAGATTCCCCTCATCATCATTACCCTCCTCTGGAAATGACAAGATTTGCATTTGTCCTATGTGATGAGACCCATAGCTCCTGAGAAGTCTCCTTTTTATTAAAGGTAACAGTGGCCTCAAAATTCCTAAATAGAAACTATTGCTCAGAATTATCATTTCATATTTCTCATCATAAAGTAGTAAATTTGACCATCACAAAATAAAAGAAAAAACTGTTTTATTTACTTTGGAAAAACACACCTCTATTAGTACAGAAAGTTCCAAATTTCTTGGGTAAAAGTGACTATTGTCCCTGGATTTGAGAATAGCTATGTCTGTATACCCCAATAATAATTCAATACTATTGGAAGTTGTGCAGTTGCAACCAGAAGATCACATTTAATTTGGTCAACAGAAAATAATAATTTACTTAGAAACAATTTAGCCCCAGTACTCGGGAGGTGGGAGGATTGCTTGAACCTGGAAGGTCCACACTGCAGTGACCCAGATCATGCCACTGCATTCCAGCCTGGGTGACAGAGGGAGATCCTGGCAAAAAAAAAAAAAAGGCCGGACGTAGTGGCTCTCGCCTGTATCCCAGCATTTTGGGAGGCCAAGGAAGGTGGATCACCTGAGGTCAGGTGTTCAAGACCAGCCTTGCCAACATAGCAAAACCCAGTAAAGTACAAAAATTAGCCAGGCGTGGTGGCAGGCGCCTGTAATCCCAGCTGCTCTGGAGTCTGAGGCAGGAGAATCACTTGAACCCGCGAGGTGGAGGTTGCAGTGAGAGGAGATTGCGCCACTGCACTCCAGCCTGCGTGACAAGAGTGAGACTCTTTCAAAAAACAAAACTAAACTAAACAAAAAACAGAAAAGAAAAATAAAAGAAGAAACAAATTGTGAAAAAAAGTAACTAATCGTGATAATGGTAATCTAGGAAAGCCGGCTAAGGTTCACTTTAGTATTTTAGGATGAAAGGGTGGTGATGGCGGCAGTGACAAGCTGTCCAGAGTGTCCCACTGCAGCGGGAAGTTGCAAGCAGTGGTGGCAGAAGTGGGACCCCTGTGCCCCATGTCACCTGTGCCTTGTGTCCCTCAGGCAGCGCACTGTGCTGTCCCAACCCTTGAGCAGCCCGCGGGACCCACCCCCAGGCCCAGAGCCTCCACCACTCCTGCCTTGCTGCTCTCACCCTGCAGTTGTGGGCAGCGCATGGAGCTGGGACCAAGCTTCAGAGGCCCAGAATGGGAAGTGGGAGTGGCCCCGCTTTGGGGACCTGGCCAGCAGCAAGGCCACTGTCCCACCCTGTGAGGGTGCCCAGTTCCTACACCTCAGGAGGAGGCTCTGCCTGAGTCTGCCCAGGATTGTTTCCCCAAGGGTGGCCAGTGAGCCTGATACTCTCGATGGCCAGGCCCAGGTCGCAATCTGCTCCCCAACTTGCCTCCCCCACCCCATCCAGGCAAGGGGGAGCCCTGGGTGAGAGGTGAAGCAGGCTGGGCTTCTGGGTAGGGTGGGGACTTGCAGAACTTTTCTGTGTCTAGCTAAAGGTTTGTAAATGCACCAATCAGCACTCTGTGGCTAGTTAAAGGTTTGCAAACGCACCAAGACCCACTCTGTAAAAACAGACCAATCAGCAGGACGTGGGAGGTGCCAAATAAGGAAATAAAAGCTGGCCACCTGAGCTAGCAGCAGCAACCTGCTGGGGTTTCCTTCCACACTGTGTAATCTTTGTTCTTTCATTCTTCACCATAAATCTTGAAGCTGTTCACTCTTTGGGTCTGCACTACTTTTATGAGCTGTAACACTCACCGAAAGGGTCTGCGACTTCATTCCTGAAGTCAGCAAGACCACGAACCCACCAGGAGGAATAAACAACCCTGGATGTGCCACCTTTAAGAGCTGTAGCACTCACTGCGAAGGTCTGTGGCTTCACTCCTGAAGTCAGTGAGACCACGAACCCACTGGAAGGAACAAGCTCTGAACACACCGTCTTTAAGAACTGTAACACTCACCGCGAGGGTCCGCGGCTTCATTCTTGAAGTCAGCGAGACCAAAAACCCACTGGAAGGAACGAATTCCGGACACATGGGCACCCGTGAGTGCTAGGCGAAGAACTTGCAGACATCACTTTTGCACCAGATGCCAGCCTGGGCCGAGCGAGGGGAGCTGCCTACTCCAGGCTGCCAGAAGGTGTGTAACGGGCCACCTACCAGCTCCACGGACTGGGTGTGAGCACCACCTTCCTCCCAAGAGGATCCAGGCCTCTGCATTCCAGGCTTTCAATGCCAAGAAGGGCCTCCTGTCCCTGCTTGGGGGATGTCTGCTTCCACTGCCTGACCTTTCCCAGCTCTCAGGCGCCCACTGTGATCTCAGAGTGTAGTTGGGGCCAAGCCCCAGTGCTGTCACATCCTGGCCCAGTGTGTGCGTGCTCAGGGCAGCATTGACACGCCAGCCTCCTGCCACCTCAGCCACGGGGAAGCCGAGGAAAAATGGGCAGAAGGCAACTGCTGCTGGCCTACAGGTGCCCCTTGGCATGAACAGCCTTAGTGCCATGGATGGCAGTGGGAGGCAGACAGCCTCCTGGGCAGAAGGTGGCAGGTCCCTCATGAGGCCTTTCCTGCAGCCCACGGAGGGCCTGAAAGATGCTGGCTGGGTTGCCGCTCCTGCTGACAGGATTGGGAACTTGTGCCTTTTCTGGACCTGCCCCATGGCGGTCCGTGGTGCACACTTCCTCCCTTCTGAGGCATGTTAAAGTCCTGAGCTCAGGCAGTGGAGAGAAGAGAGAAAGAGAGGACGGGGAGGTGAGGGATGACCAGCTGCGGAGAGGAGTTGCCCTCCCCATGGTCTCCTCTCAGTGGCAGAGTGGAGGTTCCCTCCCCAGGGTCTCCTCAGCTGCAGAGTGGAGCTGCCCTCCCAGGGTCTCCTCTCTGCTGAAAACTGAGGAGAGGACAGGACGATCAGCTGCAGAGTGGAGCTACTCTCTCTGCTGAGAGCTGAACAGGTGTCGGGACAACCTGGCTGTGGAGAGAAGCTGCCAACTGAGGATCTCTGAGCTCTTCTATTGCTTAATACAGCTCCTCATGGTCCTGCCCACCCTCCACATGTCTGCATACCTCATTCTTCCTGGACTCAGGGCAAGAACCCGGCATCTACTGAATAGTGAGGCTAAAAAAGCTGTAACACAAACAACGGCTGAAACAAGCCCCTTGCTCGCCATGTCGTGAGCAAAGAGAAGAAAAGAGCTATGGCTCTTCAGGGAGCCCAAACCTGGGAGCTCACCAAGACAGGGATGTGACTCCCTTTTTGGGTCCTGTGGTTCCTGGGGTCCCCAATCTTCCAGGTGCCACCATGTTCCCCAGTGCCAGCTGTGGAAGCTGCTTGTGGTGTGCCTGGTCCAGCTGCAGTCTCACAGGCAGCTGGCACCCATGCTGGCGCCTAGAGCTGCCCACCCTGCACAGCCAATATTCCTGGCTGTGCACAGTGTCCGGATCACACGCTCACTTGCTCACACATCCCTCGCCACCTGACTCACCCTTGGCAGGTGTGGGATCCAGGCCGGTAGAGTGAGCCGAGTACAGCCTGCCAGGCGAAGTGGGTGGAATGAGCTCAGCTGGCCCAAGCAAAACTCAGGCAAAGGCATTACCAGCCACAGGATTCTGGCAAGAAAACCAACACCGCAAATGATCCTGTAACAGTGACATGGTTAGGCTGGCTCTGTTTCCCCACCCAAATCTCATCTTGAATTACAATCCCCATAACCTCCACGTGTCCAGGGTGGCACCTGGTTGGAGGTTATTTGATCTGGGGGCCATTTCCCCCATGCTG